TTATGATCAAAAAATTTAAGAAAAAATAGGTAGCTTACTATAATTACAAAAACAAACATGATTTCAATGTGGGTACTGAAATCTGAAATTCTCAAAAAAAAGGTCACTAAATATTCTTTCATGGTGAACTCCTCTTAAAAGATAGCATGGTAGGCAGAAGCAAGATGTCAGAGAAAGTCTACGGAGAAGCTATTTTACCTGTCAGCCTATAGTAACTTGTTATTCTGTGAGCAAGTTGGAGTGTTACAAAGCCCTCAGCAATGTTGAGTGGGCAACAGCAGAGCTGTGGTGATCTATGAGCTGGTTTAATTGGTTTAGAAACAAGAAGCCAGGCCAGGGAGATTAAGTGCTTGTTACCAAGCCTGTTTTCAGTTTACATGTAAAGCACTTCAAAAGTGTGCACAGTACAGGACAAAAAGCACTAAAACCAGAGAGCCAAAACCTCATGTGATAAAAAAGCCTGAAAAGAACAAAAACGCAAAACCAATTGCTTAAATTTAGAACCAAGTGTGCTAAGTACGCTTTTGTTTTTATTATTCCCCATAATAAAAATAATTCCATAGTTCTGAAAGGAGTTTTGTTATTGTTGCTTCTTATGAGACTGGAAATTTTTTGTGGAGTAATGTGCGGGAAATGTAATCTGATGAACAACTTCTTATGAAGTGGCAATTTCAATGTATGGCTCAATTCTAATACATTGCTTAATTGGAAAATAATTATAATTTGTTTCATGTTCCAATATCTTTATTCATTTATCTAATACTCAGAAGGAACAACTGATTAAGGAAAGGGATTTCAAGATATAACTAGGGGAATAATGTTTATCAGATTTCCAAGCAGCGGTGAGAACTGATTTTCAGAATGACAAGTCTAGTAAGGAGCCTCAATTTATAAAAGATTCATGTTTTTTCTTTCTTCATATTTATCATTAGTGGGTGATAATTTAATAACATGGATTGAAAGAAGAGTACTTTCTAAATTATTCAACCAAATTTTAGGTTCATTTGCTTTAGTAAACTTAAAAAAAGTTCAATGATCCTTTATTTCAAGGAATCTTGGTACAATGATCCCTAGAACAAGGACTATGAACTCTCCTCTGGACTTCATTATTTCTGGCTAAAATGCCTGCTAGACATAGTCAAATTTAATAAACACAACACCATTTTTCTACTTAGATGTTGTGATTTAATGTAAAAAGCTTGGAACTCATTTAAAATAATCTTCAGTTTGGAAATGAACTTATAAAGTGCTAACAGAAGTCTGTGACATTTTAAAAACAAAAGATAGACAGCAAAGTTTATCAATTTTTATACAATTTTCTTTTAAAAATATTTTACCAGAATAGATACCTTTGGGGGAACATACTTTGAGCTGATTCAAATGCCACACTGCTGGGCTAGGAGCCCAGCTCTCCTGAACTCCTTCAGTCTTAGCCTGCTGTTGAACAGAGCTGTTGCCCTTGGTTTGTTTTCTTATATCCTCCTGTTACCCTAAACAGGTACAGCAGGATAGTAAGTTTGATAAACAGCTTTTGCATAAAGGCCTCAGTGCTGGTACCTTCCCTGTGGCTGGGCTCAGCTCTCTGAGGTTAAGGCTCCCTCTTCCTATGTCAGCCACCAGTATCACCAGTAATTATTCTCAGAAGCAGCTATGAGAGCTCTGGGGATTCCTAGCTAGTTTTGGCTTTCCACTTTCATTCGTAGCAAGGCTGAGCCTTACATATTTTGTTTTCTCTCTAAGAAAACCAGACAAGTCCCCTTCTCTCCCAAGTCCATTTATTCATCTGCCTAGCCATATAGCAACAAACTCAAGTTTTAGAATCAGTTTGACTTGAGGTTTCAATTTTGGCTTTTTATGTCCTACAGAACCTTAGACAGATCACTTAACCTATCTAACTTTCCTTACATTTAAAAGAGAAAAAGGTATACCTATGAGGCTGCTTTGCACATTAAATAAAAGAGTTCACATAAAATGTTTATCATACAGAAAGAGGTCCACAAGTGCAACCCTATTAATGATCACAATAGTGATGACTTCTGATAGCAGGCAATGATTAGATAGAAATGTACAGGATGTCATCATTGGTAACAAAACAGTACCACCCCCCTTTTAGGAGTATTTCCTAAGATCTCGGAGGGAAAAAAAAGAAGTTAATATTACCACCCCAATTTAATCAAAGCATTTTGTCGACCAAAATTCTACTTTAGAAAAACACTCAGTAGTGTTCCAAAACCTGCAACAGGTACATCATCTGACTATTACCCAGTTTCTTTTATGCTACTTTTCATCTAAAAATGGAGTGGAAATAGCATCTGAAGATAGCAACATCTGAATGTTTAAGTACAAACTATTAGCATATATAAAAAAACAAAGTATTTGTTATTTGTATAAAATGATCTAAGATAGTTTATCTAAAACTTGGTGTTGGGTTAGGGAGATGATTCAGTGGGTAAGAGTGCTTGCTATCCAAGTATGAAGACCTGAATTCAAATTCCTAGCATCCATGTAAAAGCTGGGCATAGCTGTAGGTGCCTGTACCCCAGCATTGTGGACCGGAGACAAGTGGTCTCGGGAGCTGACTGGCTGGCTGGCAAGTCAGCTTAATCAAAATAGCAAGCTTCAGGCTCGGGGAGACATCCTGTCTCAAAAAAACCAAAACGAAACAAAAAACAAAAAAAAATCAAGTTGGAGAGTGATAAAGACACTTGACATGTGTATGCATGGCATATGCACATCCCCACATGTGCCCATACAACACATAACACATCCCCATCAAAAACCAAACCAAACCAACAGACAAAAACACTTGTGGTCCATACCAGCTTCTCTGTAGAAAACAGCATTTTTTTCTTTTTTCAGTGTTGAAGATTGAGTATTGCACATGCACATGCTAGGCCAGCACTTCCACTGAGCTATATCTCTAGCCCTAAGAAGCACCATTTCTAGAGAATGATCTTAGTTCTCAAATTATGAACCATAAAGATGATTAATGTTCAGATTACATACAAAGTAAAGCCAACTTCCTACTGGTTGGAGATAATGTGAAAGGGTGTAGTAGTGGTTTGGGGAAACTGCAATTAAGCTGCCTTAAATCTACAATTACCTCAACTGTCCTGACAATACTGAAGGCCTACTCAGTTCCCCCAAAGGATTCAGTAAGAGGGAGAAATCACTGGCTGCTGTTCAAGGCTTCCTTTCCTTAAAGTGTAACTACAGGGGTGGGGCAGAAAGGTACACTTTCTAGTCCTTGCAAGGCTGTAGCCTCGGCTGAGCTGTGCTTTATAGATGGCTATAATGACAAGCTGGGTTCCAGCCAAACGTTTATTTTAACAAAAAAGATTATCATGTAATTCTTTGCAACTACATCATAAAAAAAAAAATCTACGATTCCAGCTTAAGTATTTTTGACTTTTGAAAAACAATTTTTTTCCTATGAAAGCAAAAATTAGCCAAATATGTTCTGATTATATTTAGCAAGCAAAATACTTGTTTAAGGCTGATGACATGGCACAACTTACAGCATGAATAATCATCAAGCAGACATTAAGAAAACCGAGAGACATCTTGCTCTGAGGCAAGGATTCTATACATGGGCCTTATAAAAATAATGTAACCTATAGGCTGTGGCTCCCACATCTTGCACGGCATTTTGTTCTCTAATAAAGAATATAAGAAGGGGGCTGGTAAGACAGCTTAGCACAGAAAAGTGTTTGCTGTGCAAGTCTGACAACCAGAGTTTGATCCCTGGAACCCATGATGAAAGGAAAACTGACTCCTAAAAAGCTGTCCTTTGAACTCCACGTGTGCAGTGGCACACATACACCCATACTCACACATACAACAATAATAAAAGAAAAAACAAAAGAATGTGAGATATCACAATGCAACAATTATCAGCACCACAAGAATAGCAAGTCAAAATGCAAATCCTTTGGAGAGATTTTCCAAAAACGGAATAGCAGTATGCTTAGACTTCATTCCAAATTTTTAGGCACTTAAATACTTAGAACACTTTGGGTGGAAAACCATGCAAATAGCTGCATATTATTAGGCTTTGTCTTTGGCCACACATTTTTTAATTGCTTCCTTTACAAAAGTCATATTTTTCTATTGAGGGAAACTCACCATTCCCAAACTCTTAGGCTCTTATCATCAGACGTACTCACAAATCTTCGATTCTCATCAACAAAAACAATGGTGTTGACAGCTCCCAAATGCCGATCGTATTCCTGTACAATCTCCCCACTGCGAATGTCCCACTGTGCAGTAAACGAGAAAAGGTTAAGGACAGAAGTAGAGCAAATGTATGAAAACCAGCGAAGAGGTACTGATGGAAAGTAAAAGGAGCACTAGCATCATATTTTTATAAGCTGATTTCTACTAAGAACAGCACCAGGGGACAAAAAGTAGCAGACATGAACTGAGGGAGCATTCTGTATTCTATTCCCTAGCACAATATAAAGCTCAGGAATCCGAAGCAAAGTACTACAAAAAGGCTTACTTGCACGATCTTTTTATCAGACATCCCAGCCACAAAGAGACTTTGCTTATCTTCATCAGGATTAAATTTGACACAATAGGGCACTTTTCGGTTTGTAAATCTTGATATACACTGTCCTAAAACCAAAGAACCAAATTAAATAAGAAAAATAGATCTGACTCCTAAAGGATGGCAATGGCATGAAGATCTAGGTTACTGCTTAAGAAAGTTTGAGGAAGGGCAGCTTGTTTGCTCTTTAAATTACCATAAACTACATTATTCCTTTTTATAGATCTATAATGATTAAAAATAGTTTTTTCCAGCTGGGCATGGTGGTGCATGCCTTTAATCCCAGCACTCAGGAGGCAGAGAGAGGAGGATCTTTGTGAGTTCAAGGCCAGCCTGGTCTACATATTGAGTGCCAGGTCAGTTGGGGCTACAGGGAGACCCTGTCTCAAAATGACCAAAAAAAAAATAATAATAATTTTTTTTTCAGAGGCTGGGGAGATGCCTTAGTGGGCAAGAATCTCCAGCATCCATGCAAAAATCCAGGCACCAGTGTGTATGCCTGTAACTCCAGAACCAGGGGGTAAAGACATGTGGATACTGGGAGCTCGCTGGCCAACCAGCCTAGCCTAACTGGAGAGCTTTCAGTCTAGTGAGAGACACTGCCTCAATACAATGAGGCACAGAGACAAAGAAAGACACTAGATGTCCTTTCCTAGTCACTGCATGCCTGCGTGCACACACACAAAACACACACACACACAGATTTTTTTCCCCCAAAGTAATATACCATCAATTGTAGAGATAAATTATAATTTCATTTGTAGAGATATAATTTCATTAATACTGTGGACTATTTTAAGTAATAGAAAAAAATTATTGGTACAAGCTATGCAAGGAAGTCTCAGATGTCATGATGAGTGAAAAGAGGAAGAAATAAAATGAGAAAATACGATATGATCCTATCTATAAGAAGTCTAAGAACAGGCAAAAAGATCTGTGGTGACAGTCATTACTGTGGTTACTGGGAGTAGGTACAGACTAGAAAAGGGCACAAGAACTCACACTGCTAGCTAGAAATGCTCTTTATTTTGATCTTAGTGGTGTTTAAAACAAACTCATAGATGTTTACCATAAAAAAAGAAATCAAGCCGGGTGTGGTGGCACACACCTGTAGTCCCAGTGCTTGGGAGGCAGAGGCAGGTGGCTCTCTGTAAGTTCAAGGCCAGCCTGGTCTACATAGTGAGTTCCAGGCCAGGTGGGGCTACAGGGAGACCCTGTCTCAAAAAGACCAAAAACAAAACAAAACAAAAACAAAAATCACTGAACATTAATGTATTTTATATATATATCTTAATTCTTTTTTTTGTAGCTCCAGCTGGACTGGAACTTGCTATGTAGACCAGGCTAGCCTCGAACTCACAGAGATCCGCCTGCCTCTGCCTCCCAAGTGCTGGGATAAAAGGTGTGCGCCACCATGCCTGGCTGCATATCTTAATTTTTTTCGTTTTCCTTTTCTTTGAGACAGGGTCTCAATATGCAGCCCTGGCTGGTCTGGAACTCTCTATGTAGACCAGGCTGACCTCAAACTCACAGGGATCTGCCTACTTCTGCCTCCTGAGTGCTGGGATTAAAGGCATGCACCACCATGCCTAGTGTGTATCTTAAATTTTAAAAGAGCTATAGAATGGTTGCCTTTTAGCCTTGGGGACACAGAAGAACCACCCAGTCTATAGCCTAGCCCAAGCACATAAGGATGTGAGGGTGGAGTCCAGGCATAATGTATTTTGAATTTCTCCAGATGATTCCAACACACAGTCAGAACTGAGAACTACTGCTAACAAGGTGAGGAACACAGGGACTATAAGTCAGAAAGACCTTGGTTTGAGTCCAACTTTGTCACTTACTAGATGTATGATCCCAAGAAACCTACTTTTAGGCCTCATTTCCTCACTTATAATGTAATACTGGTACATACTGCATAGGAGTATGTTAAGATCAAATGATATCCTACATTATAAATGCTTAGCATAATTAATGTCTGATAACATTATTTATAATAACTACCTTTAATTTAGTAAGAGCAACGATGCTTTTAGTTGTTTTATTTGCTTTTTGGAACAGAGTTTCACTTTGTACATAGGGGGCCCAGGCTGGTCTTCAACCCACAATCTTTCTGCCTTAGCCTCCTGAGTGTTGAGATTGTAGCCCTGTTCCTTCAAGCCTGATTCTAAAATATGTATTTCTAATAATTCAAAATTGTACTCATCAGAAAATACTGATACAATTAATACAATTGTAAATATATAAAACTGACTGGTCCATGAGGATTTAGATCTACATTATCAATTTGAGCAATTAAATTCTGCTTTTATTATGTGAAATGCACTGTACTACGTGGTGTGGGGATATACAGAAATCACTTAGTTTGTCTATGGAATATTTTTAATTTGTTTGCCTATCAATATGTTTGCTTTATAAATTATATGGGATAAGACTAATATTTCCCAGTGAAAGCTGATCATATAGTTGCATTTCAACTCAATAAGCATACTTTGTGATATTAGTTGCTTTTCAATAGTATGAGAAGCAGCAATTAGAAAAGGTGCCATTTAACCAGAGGACCAGTCCTACTAGTTTATGTATCAGCACTAACTCAGGAGGGTAGGAATGCACAGGATCAACATGCTCTCACCTGTCTCGGTGTCCCAGAGTTTAAGATATCTGTCATAAGCTGCACTGAGGAACTGTGTTCCTGCAGTATTGAAGCAGATGTCTCTCACAGCTTTACTGTGACCTAGAGGTAGAGCCAACAGAAATGATGGTGAGATCAAGTGCTGTAGCTGCATAAACATGATAAAGAGAAGCATTAAACAGTGGTCTCAAGGAAGGCTGCCAGTAAGATCCCTGGAGCCCCCAACTCCTGATTAACTAAGGATCTGTGAGGTGGGGAACATGGGCATGGCTGGCTCTTTCAAAATGCTCTGCAGGTAGTTCTGATGCCTAACATTTTGGTACAAACCGAGAGAAAAGGCTGAATTTTAAAAAATTGCTGTGGTATCTCTACCAAACTATTATTAGTGAAAGGAAATAGAACTGAAAGTTTGGAGGTTCACTTTCAGATTGCTTACCATGTTCGGAATAAAAACAAAATGACCTAAACTTCAAGTCCAGGAAACTGTAGCCCCCATTCAATAATTACATATTTCTGTAATCATATTACTTAATTTCACAGAAACTGATTCAGAAACTTGGAGATGAAGCTTTTTTGAAAACTAAAATATTAGTTTTCTTTGGTTTTAAGATGATATTTTGACACTAAGCTAATCTTAGGGTGCCGATTATATTTTCTCAGAAATCAACCTTGTCAGGTCAAGCAATCTTTTGGAAAGTTTCTGGGACAAATAAAATGTAGCTAAGCAAAAGTAGAAATATGCACAGCCCAAATTGTCAACCCCATGCTACATCCCTGAACCAACCCTACCATGGAACTCCAGTAGGGCAGCAAGCACCATGGCAGCCAAGTATCCTTTTCTATAGCAGGAGTGCCCCACAGGGCTGTTATCATCTTCCTAACGAGAGAATTCCAGTTTTCCACTGAAAATGCTCTGCTAGTCCAGGTGGAGATGAGGTCAAATACTGGATGTGATAGACATTTTGTTCCCCTGGACACAGATAATGCTTCCTACATAAGTCTGGTGGGTTGATGTGAAATATTAGACAGTATTTATTTGCACAGAAGTCCTAAAGCCTTAGCAATGCATGGGAGAACAAAATCTCACTTTCATCTATAAACAGAGCCTCTATGATTCACAGCATTTCAATGTGGCACAATTAAATTTGGAAAGTAACATGAAGTGACAGATTAAAAAAAGCATCGTCAAGGCTACTTAGCTGCAGTCTGTCCTCCCGTGGTCCACGTATCTTCAAGGGGTTTTCTCAATCTTATCAATTCTTATTTCCAGCTCCCAACCTCACTTCAAAGCATGACCTATGTCTACTGCTTACTGGACATTTTCTCCATAGGCTGCTCAGATTTAACAAGTCTCATCATTCTCTGATGTTCTCTTCCTTGGCCACCTGGGAGTCACCTTAGATTCCTGCCTTGTACCACTCATATCCTGTTACTGAATCTCATTAGAGCTCTTTCTTCTGTCTCAGGTGCTTTGGTCCAAACTCTCACCATGTTTAATAAAGACCAATGAAATGACTACAATTTATTTTCTTATTTCTAGGCTTGCTCTATCAAAGTATCCTCCAGACTGCATGTGATCTGTGTTGGATAGCTTTAGTGTCAACTTGACACACCTGGGTAGAGGGAGCCTCAACTGGGGAACTGCCTCCAATGGGCTAGCCTGTGGCCATACCTATGGGGGAATTTTCTTGGTTGAGTGATGTAGGAGGGTCCAGCCCAATGTGGGTAGTGCCACCCCTGGACAGGTGGGCCTCTTTGTATAAGAAAGCAAGTTGAGCATGGGCCAGGGGAGCAAGCCAGTAAGCAGTGTTCCTCCATGGCCTGTGCTCCAGCTCCTGCCTCCAGGTTCCTGCCCTGAGTTTCTACCTTGGGTTCCCTGATGAACTTGACCCAGGAGATGTAAGACAAATAAACCCTTTCCTCCCCATGTTGGTAGTGGTCAGAGTGTTTTGTCACAGCAATGGAGAAACGAACTAAGACATGATCTTTATACACTTCCTCCCAATCACATTACTTTCCAGTAAGAGCTGTCAAATGACTCTTCACTGCTGTCAGGGCACAGTCTTTTATTAGTGGTGCAAATGGTTCTCCCTACTCTGCACCCCCATCCCCAAGTCTCTCTCCTATGCCTAGCGCAGCACACTTCCTCATTACACTTTTGCTCCTGCTGCCCTCTCCTTAGTTTTCTTTCCCTACCTAGAGAGATTTACTCCCCCTAGACTCAGATCAAGTCTACTTTCCTTCACATCAGGGTAGTAGAATGACAGTCAATGTCATTCTCTTACTTGCAGAGCTTTCCTAAACAGATTTACAGATAGGGAGGAAAGAAAGATTACCAATAAATGTTCGCAGACAGCGCCGGTCTCCATAAACTTCCCATAGCTGGAGAAAAAACACAAAAACAAAAAACAAAAACAACACATGGAAATATTAATTTTTCTTTTTGGGAACTGAACCCAGGACCTCATGTATGCTAAGCATGTGCTCTACAACTAAACTAAACTCTGAGCCCTGGAGATATTAACCTTAATAAAAGCGTTTTATCAATAACAACAGTCATATTGCCAGCTATGTGTGTGTATAAATCTTTGTGGGTAGAGGGGATTAATTATTAAATATTGATTAGTGTTGCCAGTTGGTGTTATAGTTTTTGGAACACAGAGATGTATACACATACATTCTTTATAACTAAGAGTCGTTTTTTTTTTTTTAAACATCAAAATAGCAAGAGACTTTAACTACAGATGGAGTTTACCCAGACAGCTTCATTTTCTTTTTTACTGAACTTTTGTGAACTTCATACATAAAATCATCTTTCTACCCCCCTCCCCTTTGGCACCCTCTCATAGCTCCCCGCACTGAAGTTCAGACATTCTGTCATTTGTGTTAAGGCCTATTATGTAAAGTTATTGTCCTGAGATGTCCCTCAGTGCAAGTACATCCACCGGGGTTCAGTCAGCCTATCTAGAGTCTCTCCCTTCAAGAAGATCAGCTCTTCCTCACCCAGTAGTAATCAGCTGCCAATAATTCTTCGACTAAGATTGAGGCTTGCCATTCATTTCCACAGTTCTGTGCTGGGTTTTTTTTCTGCTTGAATTTTCATGGATCTTGTGCTTGCGGGCACTACTGCTGTAGGTTTGTATGAGAAGGGTCCCAGGTGCCTACAGGACCATTTCTGAATGGTCATGCATCTCCTCCCTGGCTCTTACAATCTTTCCACCCCTTCTCCCAAAATGGTCCCTGAGCCCTGGGTGGGTGGACCTCAATATAGGAGTCCTGTCCAAGGACCCACACTCTGTAGACTCTTATTCCCTGTGTTTTGGCCATTTGTGGCCTTTTGTGTTCCTGGCCCTCTGTTGCACGAGGAAGCTTCATCGATGAGAACTGAAAGATGCATTCATGCTTTCTTCATTCCTTGTTCTATGTTCCATGAGTCTTAGGAGTCAAGATTGCATTCTAGATGTTCTACTTGGGCTTGGGCAATTCACTGAGAATCTCTGTTTGTGACCAGTGGTGTAAATCTAATAATCTCTGTCTGTTCAAAAAGAAGCTATGTTGATGGGTGGTGACTGGGATATTTGTTTAGAAGTATTTGGTGCTAGGGTCCAGAAATGAGGGACAACATACATCTTTTGTTTTTCTGAGTCTGTGTTACTTCACTTAGTATAACAGTTTCTAGATCCATTTATTTGTAAATTTCTTTATTTCATCTTTCTTTACTGCTGAGTGGAACTCCATTGTGTAAATGTACCACATTTTCATTAACCACTCACAAACTGAGGGACAGTTAGGTTGCTTCCATCTCTTAGCTACTGTGAAAAGAGCAACAGCAAATATGGTTGTACAATTATCTCTGCAATAGGATGAGTCCTTTGAGTATATGCCAAGGAGTGGTATAACCAGGTCATATGGTAGGTTCATTTTCAGTTTTTAAAGAGTTCTCTACAATGTTTTCCATAGGGGTTGCACAAGTTTGCAATTCCACCAGCAGTGAATAAGTGTTCCCCTTTCTCTACATCCTCACCAGCTTTTGGTATCATTTGTTCCCTTGATCTCAGCCATTAGCCAGTCTGACTGGAGTAAGCTAAAACCTTAAGGTGGTTTTAATTTGCATTTTCCTAATTGCTAACAATGTTGAACACTTTTTAAAAAGTTTCTTAGCTGTCTTTATTTCTTCCTTTGAGAACTCTGTTTGGATTTTTAGCCCATCTTTTAATTAGGTCATATGTTTTCTTGATTCTTTGATTTTTGAGTTCTTCATATAGCCTAGATGTTAAACCTCTGTCAGACATGTCACTGGTGAAAATTTTCTTCCACTCTGTGGGTTTTCTCTTCACTCTCTTGTTTCTTTTGCTGTACAGAAGCTTTTTTGTTTAATGAGATCCCACTTGTTGACTGCTGACCTTACCTAAGCAACTGGTGTCAGTTAGAAAGTCCTTTCCTACACATATATCTTGTAAGTTACTGCCAATGTTTTCTTCTAATAGTTTCAGAGTTTCCAGTTTCACAATGAAGTCTTTGATCCATTTGGTGTTGACTTTTGTGCAAGGCAAAAGATAAGGATCTAGTTTCATTCTTCTACAGGTAGAGAGCCAGTTTTGCCAGCACCACTTGTTGAAGATGCTGTCTTTCCTCCACTGTGTTCTTGGCACCTTTGTCAAATATCAGGTGGCTGATTCAGGTTTGGGTCTTCAATTATGTTCCATTGATCTGTGTGTCTATTTTTGTGCCAGTACCATGCTGTTTTTATGACTATAGCTCTGTAGTATATTTTGAGATATGGTATAGTAATACCCCTAGCATTGTTCTCTGTGCTCAGGGTTGCTTTGACTATCAGGGGTCTTATTGTGCTTCCATATGAATTTAAGGATGATTTTTTTTTGTAGTTCTGTGAAGTACATCATGGGGATTTTGATTGGGATTGCATTGACTCTATAAATTGCTTTTGGTAGGATGGTCATTTTCACAATATTAATTCTTCCAATCCATGAGCATGGGAGGTTCTTCTAGAGTCTTCCTCAATCTCTTTCTTTAAAGATTTAAAATTTTCATTGTAGAGATCTTTGATGTCTTTTGATCCGATTTATTCCAAGATTTTTTTTTTTGAGGCTATTGTGAGTGGGAGGGTTTCCCTATACTCTTTCTCTGATTGCCTGTTATTGGTATATAAAAAAGCTACTGATTTTTATAGATTAATTTTGTAACCTGCCACTTTATTGAAAGTGTTGATCAGTTCTAGGAGTACTCTGGTGGAATTTTTGGGATCTCTGAGGTATAACATCATATCTGCAAAAAGGGATAATTTTACCACTTCTTTTCCAAGTAGTACTCCTTTAATTTCTTTCTCTTGTCTTATTGCTCTAGCAAGTATTTCAAGCACTATATTGAAAAAGAATGGAGACAGTGGAGAGCCCTGTTTGGTTCCTGATTTTAATGGGGCAGTTTCATTTTCTTAGGGCTCTTTTCTATATTTTATGTTTTCATGATGAATAGTTTCTACTTTTGTAACATTATGAATTACTTTTTAAGGAATTGTTATTAAAACATGCATATAACATTTTGATATTAAAAGTTTTTAAAATACTTTTCTGAAGTATTATAGAATCTTTATGAAAATAATATCTAAACTGAAATAACCAGTTTATAATTTTCATCTTATCTAATGCAGATCAACACAAAAGCTTTAAAACTGGCTTTGCGCTTACCTACCTTAAATCCAGTCCTTGCCACTGTTGCTAGTGCTCTGAGATAGAAAGCATTTCCTGCCTACTAAATGCCAAATAGGTAAAATTTCAGGTCCTACAGCATACCAGGCAAGGCGCTCTGGGACCTGCCCCCCGCCTACGACTACAGTCGTCTTTTGTCTCAGACTCTGTGCTCTACAAGCACAACACTATGTGTATTTCAGCGCATCACACTGTTCATTCTTCCCAAGCATATGCCGCTCCTCCCCTTTGCTTAGCCTTAATGCTCAAGCATGCTTCCTCTGAAAGGAGGCCCTGCACCTGCGCCTGCCAGTGCCAGGGCTGTTTACATCACAACGAAATGATCACCTTACAGGCAGGGTCAGTGCATCCACTATCTTTTTATTATCATCCCCCTGCACATAATACGTACCTAATACATGTTTATAGATGTGACTAAATTAAACTCTATGCTTTGTTACTTGATCAAAGAGAAGATCACAATCTCGTGTAGTTTTGTATAAAGTTAAAGAAAATTAAAGATTTTTCTACAAATTGTTCCAATCAAAGAATACTATTTCTATTAGAGACAAATACCTAAATGGTTTCTCTCTATAAGAGGAGTGGCCTTTCTATACTATTAATATTCATCAGTTATTTAAAAAGGATCAGACTTTAATGATCTCAGTTTCCAAGCTGTAAGAGCACACAGGATTGGTATTTATTTAGCCATCATAATGATTTGGACAGAGGAGACACAAAAAAGGATAAGAACTATTATTTCAAATTTAAGATTTCTAAAACGTTTCCTCCATATTCAAGTTGGCATGACTGACAGTTCAGTTTTTAAAAATATTTTATTATTTTTATTTTATGTATATGAGTGTATTGCCTGCATGTATGCAAATGCAACCATGCCATGCAAGGCAGAAGAGGGCCTCAGATCCCCTGGAACTGGAGTTACAGTTGTTAGCTGCCATATGGGTGCTGGTGTTTGAACCTGGGTCTTCTGCAAGAACAGCCAGTGTTCTTAACCACTGAGCCATCTCTTCAGTCCCAACAGCTCAGTTTTTCCACCACACACTCTGTAGCTGAGCAGAAGGTAAAGCTGGAACTTCCTAAGAATCCCAAATGTGGGAGAAGGGCTGAGAGCATTTCTGCTACCTGGTGTTCAGAGTGTCCAGAAAAAAAAGGGTGAATGACACTGTGGACTATGGGGTTCTCATCATGTATACCCTCTTTCTCAGTCAGTTCTGAGGTACAAATGAACTCATTTAAATATCCATAACCTCTATAAAAATGCATTATTTCATAATTCAATATTTACATGCCCAATGCCAAAGTGATTGGATTACATCCTAATCAGTTGTCTAAGCTTCAAAAAGAGTCCAGCCAACTGGACCACAGAGCCATATTTGAATCTACAAGTTTGGAAGCAGCTCACAAATAGCTGCATTCACAAGACTTAGTAGAAAAATAATTAGCCTTTAATTGACGAACAACTTCAAAATTTATTTATAATTAATCAAATAGAGTTAATGAAAGCACTAGCTTTGAAGCTCTCTGATTCCAGTACTGAAAACTCACCTTAATTTTACAGTCCATGGAGCAAGACAGCAACAAATGGCCAGAGAGAGGAAACAATCTGACTGCACTGACACCCTGCAAAAAGCCATCGCATTATCATTCTGAAGCATTCAAAATATCACAACTGAGCATAATGCAAAGAGAAAATTATGCCCTATTTCTCTTCATTCCAAACCCCAGGCTCCAGAATAGCCTTTATCAGTATTCCAAGAGCAGGGCTTATCTTGACACTAAGCTTGACACTAAGATGATTTTTTTTAAGCTTTAAATTTTGACTTCTTTATCCTGAGCCAGTCAAACTGCTAATGCACTCTACTTCTTTTCTGTATGCCCTTTGTTCTTGGCAAAGATCTAGAAATTAGCAGCTGGAATAGTGTAGATGGCAAACAATATCAATATCCAAGGTGTTCATGTATCTTACTCTGCACTAGTTTAAATATCAGCTTGGATTATAAAGCAAGGAACATTTATTCTCTTACATGTGATAACCCCAGAAGGCAAGGCAACATTACTCAGGCTAAGCAGGAGACTTGATGTTGTACCATCCGTCTGTTGCCCCCTGCTATGGTGAAAAGCAGCAGCACACAACTTGTGGAAAAGGAGTAAGCAACAATAAGGGTACTGGACACTGACCCATGAACGCTTATATTATGGCCATATGGCTGGCCCTTGTGACTACTATAAGTAGGTATCTCCAAAGCCTAACTAGTATTTGCCTTCCTCCCTGTAGCTATACTGAATGCTCTATATCAACAGTTGAATTTACAGTTACAATGACTTCACTATTGTAACATGAGAGCAAATGGGGACATTCAACTTGCTTACCTTAGTGTGTCCAGACCACACATGAATTTGTTTTTTTGGAAGGTAACATTTCTCAGGTGGCACAGATGACCGTAGATTAACACCAACATCCTGAGGAATATGAAGGTAGGACCTGCCTTGGTAGTCATACATTTCCTTAACTAAAACAAACAAAAATCAAAAACAAAAGAAAGCAATAACAAATACAAATCATCTTCATGAAATCTATATTCTTAAGGCAGTAACACTGTCCATATTAATACTTAGGTAACAATATTCTGATGATATTAAACGTTAAAATCACAAGTTGGCTAAAATTTAGCTGCCTGAAATCCATGCAATCATTTAGGATGAAAGGTAGGATTTTGGAATTTCTAAACAGTTAAGCAATATGAGACCTTTAGTCAGATCTACATTTCTTTCCCTCTATTACATATTTCAGTGATAAAGACTTTCCCGCACTGTAATTTCAATGAGGTAGGATAAGATAATACTCGGGTCTTGTGAGCTACTGGTAAAGAATCAGAGGCAAACAGGCAGAGAGGAAGTTAACACGAGACAGGAATTACTTGCTCTCCTTTTCTCCATCCACTCCCCACCCCTTTTTTTGGGCCCTTCTGGTTCCTTTACATTTGCCTTTCCCCATTTTTAATCACAAATTTTCCAATAAAAGTTACATGGGTAACTTTGATCAGTTTCTTATCTGGCAACAGTAAAAGGTTCCTCAACATGCCATGACCAAAAATTAATCAAAAACCAAACACATGATAAATTCGAGGTGTTTCTGGCAGTGCTTGTCAGAGCTGCACTGTGCAACTTCCCCACAGCCTTGGCTGAGAACATACATACATGTGCCTTGTGCTGCTGTCACTCCATGTAACAAACAGTGCCTGAAACACCGCCAGCTCGGATTCAAGACTATGCCATATATGTATATTATGAACTGCTTTTTTTTTATTGTACAAAGTTTTCTGCTGTTCTATATACATAATGATTTAATTTTGTAAAACAAAGACTTTAATATTTTCCAACCATCATTCTCCAGGATGTAAATACCAAATTAGTATAACCCTTAGATTGTGCTAGAATGTTTGATTTAAAATTCTGCTGTTTGAGTTAATGAGTTTCACAAAAAAAAAATTGCTAAATGAGTTGTGGCTTGGAATTAGGACAGAATTTCCAGCAATGTCTGAAATGGCCTTAAACATTCTTCTGCCAATTTGTACTACGTATTTATGCAAAGAAGTATTTTTAGCATTGGTGACTAAAGAATTAAAATACTGATCAACTCTGAAAAACATTAAAGACGCTCTACCTTCTGCAGTTTCAAACATACCTATCAGTATGCAAATTTGCCTTCTTCCTTAATGAATGATGAAATTACAGATATACCAAAAATTTCCTTAGGATTTATCATCAGTAAATGTTTAATTTGTATGCTGATTTTATATACATCTTATACATAGCTAGGATCACATAAATATTTTTCAGGTGAAAAGGAGTCAAGTGTGGAAAAAAAATGTAAGAAGCCTGACTTAGATGGCAAGGGTACATATAAAGCATTTTGCAGCATGTCTGGCACAGGCTGTTTTAAGAACTATAGACTCTGGGGCTGGAGAGATGGCTCAGCAGTTAAGAGCACTGACTGCTCTTGCAGAGGACCTGGGTTCAATTCCCAGCACCCACATGGTGGCTACGAACTGTCCTTAACTCCAGTTCCAGGGGAATCCAAAACCCTCTTCTGACCTCTGCTGGCATTGCACAACATGGGTGCACTCACATACATGCAGGCAGTATACTCATACACATAAATAAATACATAAATAAATAAATAAATAAAATATAAAAAGAAAAAAGAACCATAGACCCCTTGGACATAAAACTGAAGTTTATGAAACCAAACATGGCTTTCTCAAACCTAAATATTTGCTTTGGCAAATTTGGCAATTCAGTAGTGAATTGTTATTTTTCTAAAAACAAATTATTATTTTTATTTTATGTGTATGAGCGTATGCCTGCATGTATGTAAATGCACCTGTGTTGTGCAATGCCCATGGAGGTCAAAAGATGGCACTGGACCCTCTGGAATTGGAGTTATGGATGGTTGTTAGCTGCCATGTGGTTGCTGGGAACCAAAGCTGGGTCCTCTTTAAGAGCAGTCAGTGCTCTTAGCTGCTGACCCATCTTTCTAGCTCCTGAATTATTCTTTAAGCTCAGGTCATCACTATGTAATTTCCTAACTGTAATTAAATTTTTTTATTTTTATTTTTATTTTTTTGAGACAGGGTCTCCCTGTAGCCCCAACTGGCTCAGAACTCACTATGCAGACCAGAGTGGCCTCACAGAGATCTGCCTACTTCTGACTCCCATGTGCTGGGATTAAAGGCATGTGCTACCATGCCCCACTTGTAACTATTTCTTAATGAAGAGGTAAATTCACATAAAAAAGTTTTTTCTTTTAAAGTTAAATGTAGTACAAGTTATGATGATACTTGAATATTTGGCTTGGGTTAAAAATGAAGTTAAATGACTGAGGCAACTATATCTTCAGAAAGAACAAATTATGGACCAATCTAATTTCTTTATTCATTTTTAAAATCCATTAATGCCTGAACAAAAGTTACCTGTGCCTCTCTTTAATCACTCTAGGTTCCTCCCTATTAGAAAGAGTCTGCAGTCATTTCTTTAGGATGCAAATTGCTCAAATATTATTCTTAACACAATACCTACATAGCAGCTGATAGTAAAAGCAATTGGTATTACACAGCAAGAGAAGAGAGTAAACACAAAAGCTTTTCATGAAAGCCCACAAGTATGAAAAATACATTACCGTGCAAGATTGTCTTCTCCTCCCCAGGTTTCTCCTCCTCCTGTTTGCCTTTTTTCTGTCTCTTCGCTGTGATTTCATCCAATTCTTTTTGTTCCTCCTAAGGAAAGGAGTGAACTTTAAGATGAATGCTTGAAAACCTTGGGTCCATTGTTGGTTATATAGTCTTTATAATGAGGGCCACAAATATGTCTCCTAGGATAGCAATGCCAATTCTTACACAGCCAGAGATAGATTACCTTTTTCATAGATAACAAGGTGACATTCAACTGATTATATATAGACAGCTTATACTTCTGGAACACCTAGAAATAAACTTAGCATATTATGCTAATTATGTAAATGAAAAGACAAAACAGAAAATCTGGTACCAGAAAGGATATTGAATTTTAGAACACAATGTCGTTTTTCAGTAAGTTGAAATCATGCTTATATCATGAAGATATAAGCAACAAGTATAGATTTGTGACCAACTTTTCTTGGAAAGCTGGGAAGGGAAGACAGGGAAACAGCAAATCTGTTTTTATAACAAGTCATGAGATGATATCTAAAATAAAGAAACAGTAGCATATGTATATTACTAAGTTATATGAATGCAAGGAACAGCTAGAATTCAAGTTTCACAAGGACAAGACTTTCTTGATATTGCCCAGTAGTTTACTCCAGTATCTAGACTAGTGTCTCGATCCCAGAGGTTGTAGGATTATAGGGGTGGGGAAGAGTTCTGTAGTTACTTTATAAACTTCCCAGTAATATTTTTACAAAATAGTATAAAGCTTAAGATTTTAAAATAAGTTAACAGGTAAAGCCCACTGCCAATTCTAGTCTTGACAGATAGTCTGTGACTCTGGAATAACTATCTGACTGTCAGGTATCAGAACAGCAAGCAGGTACCTTAAGAGCATTATTAAGGGGGCAACATTTGTTACAAACGGTTCAATATTCTATTTTAGTTTTTTTAAAAAAGTATAGAATACAGTAAAAAACAACAACAACAACAACAAAAAACATTGTAAGAGCTGGGTGTGGTGGCACACGCCTTTAATCCCAGCAGAAGCAGGCCACCTTGTGAGTTCAAGGCCACCTTGGTCTACATAGTAAGTTCCAGGACAGCTGGGGCTACAGAGAGACCCTGTCTCAAAAAAGACCAAAAAAACAAAAAAACAAAAAAACAAAAAAAAACAAAAACCAAAAAAAAACATTGCAAGAAAAGCAAAGAAATTTTATAACATTTTCTCAGTCAACCAAGTCTGAGAATGATATGTCATCGGTTCTCTAAGGAACTCTCAAATTTATTAATACAGATACGCTTGACAGAGACATAGCACACACTTAAACTGGTAACGAAAAACATCAAAGCTTACTTCTGAAGGTTTGGCCACATCTTTTTCATCCACATATTTTGCCCAGGGTCCCAAGAAACCATCAATATTAGATGCATCATTTTCTTTGAACTTTTTCCTCTTTTCTGTTTTCTTCTGACCACTTTCAAATACAGTTAAACCTATATTAACAACCAAAAATAGAAACTATAAGCAACCATGCGTATTTTCTTTAGAAATATTAGCATATATAACGGGAAAGTAGGCACCATGGGGTTGTTAGTCTGGGACTTTCAAAGGACAGAAACTTGGGTGAGGTATGCGGAGGGAGAATAGCTGCTCAGTCCAGAAGGCCCAACCAGGTGTCCAGGTGCCTTTTTAATGAATCAAAACCCTGTATTGGTTTTGTCTTCAGAGACAAGGCCTCAATATGCAGCCCAGGGTGGCCATAACTTGCTATGCTTCTGCCTCAGCCTCCTGAATGCTGAGATACAGGTGTGTACCATTATGCACAGCAAAACACTAGCAACTCAATATTGTTAAATAATGATAAAGCTACCTTTGAAAACAAGAATAAACTGTAATTGATCATATTATGCAAATGCTTAATTTATCATATTAAGCAAATGCTTAATAATTTATTTTTATTTCATTTATAATGCAACAATACAAACTGAACAATGTTTCATAAGAATCTGGTATTTCTTCCATATGGATGTCAGTTTGCATTTGGCCTCTAATGTCAACACCTTAAAAGGAATTGAAAAAGGATGATGTTTCTAAAGGTGAGGGCATACTGTTTATAAGTCACTAAATTGAAAACAGAAAGTTTTATGGATGTTACAGTCACAAGCTGATTAAGAATCTACTTACAGGGCTGGAGAAATGGCTCAGCAGTTAAGAGCACTGGCCTTTCTTGCAGAGGACCTGGGTTCGATTTCCAGCACTCACATAGTGGCTAACAACTATCTATAACTCCATTTCCAGGGAATCTGATGCTTTCTTCTGGCCTCCATGGGCACTGCATGCCATGCACATAGTGCACTTACATACATGCAGGCAAAACACTCAAACACACAAAAATACAAATAAATAATTTTTTTTTAAAAGAATCTAGTCACATATACAGGTGAAGAGGTATAACTGAAGGAAAAAAATGTCCACCTATCTGCATTCAAATCAGCTTCCTCTGGGCTCCGTATTACAACAAAGCAAGTTAAAATTCTACTTCAATAATAATTAATGCACACTCAGAAGGCAGCTTAGTAATATGGGATTGTCCCTGTACAAGTAATGCATTCTTTTTTAGTGGCATTTTATAAATAACAGTGCAATACTCTGATGAGCTCTATGACAAGTCAACATTTAAAATGCAATGCTTTGTTTTATTATTCATACAATATGAATATAAACACAAATATATTTTAAAAGTCAGCTATTAAAGCAACTCTTCAAAGATGATAACATATGCAGAATGAACATTTTCCATTAAAATTTAGCTTTACAGTGTCAAGAAGTCAAAATAACTTAGAAATTAATTATAATTGAATAATTTGTATAGGGTGGCATGGTGTCAAGCACTCAAAATAACCCAAAGAGATAAATAAGACCATCTTCCTTACAAGACTGCACAGCTACTAAGTGGCTGTAAACAGTAAAACTCTTACTGCTTTAACCTACATAACGCTATTGTTTCAACTTAAAAAGAAATCAAGGCTAAATAATAGTTTCCTCATATTGTCTAATTACTACAAGACAATAATTAAAATTGACTACTACAAATAAATTACCTTGATTTTTTTCAGCTTCTTCTACAGAACCAATATATTTAGTAGATACTTGATGACTATCTAATGAAGGGTCCAATGCATAACCTGCAAGGAAAAAAATACAAGTAATTTATTCATATTTCACAGTTTATCTTATTACTGTACATAAACACCCATTTTACATTTTCCTTCCCAGATAAAAAAATTGTCCTTTTAACTAAGAATTGAGCTTTCCTTTCTGAGTTCCATTTCTATTAACAACAATTAACCCAAATCTCAGACTGGACCATGAATGATTTCAGGAGAATAAGTAGCATTTTACAGAATCATTTCATTGCCAAGAGTTTTTGTAACTGTGAATTCAAAGTTCAGTTTCAAAGACTCTAAGAGTTTAAAAATACCAGTGCATTATGTATTCAGAAAGTTAGAAGCTATTTCCTTTTTCTTTTTGTTAATGTATATTATAGTATGACATTATTAATTATTAAATTGAAAAAGAAATAGAATAAGAAGTTAATTACATAAGATCTAGCTATTATGAAAATGTCATTCTTAGTAAGGACAGTCTCCAGTCTTACTATACTACACCCTCATGGTAAGAGAAGTAGAACTATCCATTGCCATATAAATATGCTCATTCAACCAGCCACAGAGTGTGTATCTGCATGTATCTGTGGAGTTTGGTGGTCTGGGGAAACCTAGGAAAGTCCACCCAAATTCACTCAAAGTAGGTTTTTCTCAAGTGGATGTGCTACTACAATAAATGTTTGGTGAAATCAGTTTTCATAATAATCCAGTATATTCATAAAAGAGTGCGATTATTAATTAATCTATGGCCTATGACTCATGTCAAAGTTGTGAATTACATAAAAAGTACTAATGCATTTTTAAAGGGTACATTCCAATGGATATATTTAACATTTATATTTTGCAGCTAAAGATTAAAAGGAACTTTTCGGGGGAAGCAGATAAAAGATTTGTTGTGAAGTATACTTTTATAACATACTAAGGATATAGGTGCTCACTCATTCTTGCAATATGCTAGAATAGAACCAAACATCTGGCTATCAGTTCATTTGCAAATAGTTTTTTTTCCATCATTAAAATATGTTCTTAGAGGAGAGAGCTTGGTGGTAGAAAAGTGCCTTTGGAGTAGACCTCTGAAATCATAGACTCAAGTCCCATGAATTACTTTAGCTTTTACCTCTTTGATATACAAAATAGTGTTCTGTACATGAATGTTTTAATGAGACTTTTATAAGCCTTATATAAAATTCAGACCAGCAAATTCTGAACTAAAATTCCCACTTCAATCATAGAAACCTATCTAGTGTATAAAGATTTCTGTTTGTGTGAATGGTGGTACATGGTGCTTTTGGAAGGGCAGAGCAGAGCGAGGGTACTCCTGGTCCTGTTTCTGTGTAAGCACCAATCCCCAGGTTGTCTGGCTGTCTTGATCCCGAGGAAAGGAACTTAAGCATTCTTCTTGCTCTGAAACCTCTGTGTAAAATCTTTCATTACTACGTCTACCACCCCCACTGCTGCCTTTCTCTCTGGTGATTCATAGGCCACATTACCTTCCTTTTACAAACAAGAGAAATTAAAACATGTAGACACTATCCTACTATAAATCAGCCAGTGATGAAACAAGATGTAAATCTAATACTGTGGAATTTCAGTTCAACTAGTTTTCTATTATCACATATTTTAAAAAATTAACATAATTACATTGTAATTCTTTTTGTTTGTTTTGAAACAAGGTCTCTCTGTAGCCCCAGCTGGCCTGAAATCAGGCTAGCCTTGATCTCATAGAAATCTACCTGCCTCTGCCTTCTGAGTGCTAGGATTAAAGGTGTGCTCTACCAGGCCTGGCTACGCTGCAGTTCTTAAAAATTCTCATGTATCTTTTTGAAGCTTATTTTCCATTTTGCCTTTTCAACAGAGTTAATATCTGCTTTTTTCCTTTTGGAATTCATACTTGAAATAGCTATAACATTAATTTTATTATTTATTATACCCTTAAGATTATCAACATTAATATTATAGTAGGTAAATAAAAAGAGTCAATAATTTATAAAGTAAATTGCAAATATATAGAAAAACCTTCAACCTCATTAGCAGTCCAGAAAAATAAAATTGAAATAGTTATAATATTTTGATTATCAAATAAACAAAGGAACAATCATATGGACCCTGGGTAAAAAAGAAATAAAACTTTCGTACATAGCATTCTATATACTTTACAGTGTAGAATAAGCTGGGAGAATTCTTTTGGAAACCAATTTGATAATATACAACACAAATTTAAAAAATTTTTTTTAACCTACTTTGGGGATTTATTTAAGAAAATAACAATAAAGAACTATCAGGTTTTATGCTACACTAAACACATTTTTGGGGGGAGGAGTTGCTTATTGGTTTGCAGCAGGGTCTCTCTGTAGCCCAGTTGGCCTGGAACTGGCTATGTAGATTAGGCTGGCCTCAATCTCACAGAGCTCCACCTTCCTCTGCCTCCCAAGTGCTGGAACTAAAGAGCATCACTATATACAGCTCAACACATTTTTAAAACTGCAAATTGGAACTTACTTGAAATCTAATAATTCACAATTTCAGCAAACAAAAAAATTTAATGCTAATTGCTTCTAATAACAAAGTTAAAATGCATTTTAATAATGGCTATGGTGAGACTAAAGACATTCATTTAGAATTCTACTTTCAGTTCCAAAGACTGCTGAAGAGAAATCCTAAGTGAAAGGAGGACAAGGGGAAGAGCCCTCCTTGAAAAGCCCCTCCTAAGATGGGAAGAAAGCAGATCAAGGACTCAGGAGAAAAGGGTGGAAACGGAAAAGGGAATCCAGGAATACCACAGAGGTGCAGAGGCTCCAGGAGAGATGCCAGTAATAGGAGTTAAAAGCCTAACTATAAAGTAAGGAACTGAGGTGATACAGTAAACGAGACTAGCTTCACTGATAAGGCCTCTACAGGTTGGCTCTGTCATGAACCAAATATACTAAGAACACAAATCTGCCCGAAGTTGTTTATGGAGATGGTAACAATACCTCATTTCAAAATGTGGAGAACCGTGTAAGATCAATGTTCTATATCCCAGCAGTGGTTTCTCAGAGCTAGAAAATATACTCAGGTAAAACTGAATTTATGTCCCATCTTCTTAGTTATGCCTCTTACAGATAATGCTAGTACAAGATGTAAGGAAGGCTCTTCTCCGATACTCTAAAATGAGGGGCAGTAACACAAAGTCTCTGTGGGTAAGAGTGAAAAACCAAAAGGACAGAAACATAGCCTAGGAATCACTACCTAAAATCAGGTAAGGACTATTTGTCCTTTGCACAACCTAGAGCACTAACTTCTAAGAAATTTCATCACTGATGGAATTCAGTTATTTTACATCACAATTTTACTATTCTACTGGCTGATACTCTTAAGTAATGAAGAGAAAATATTTCGGAGATAAGATTTGAGAAACAGAATAACGTTAACTAGTATATAAGATAATAAATGTAATCTTTTCATACTATCTTTCCATTTACCAACTTAAAAAATCTGCATATGATGGACATTTAATAACAAATGTTTATTACCAAGCACAATAACAAGAAATGCTCTGTTTTTAGTATCACAGACAATTACCAGCATTGAAAAAACACCACTGACGATTTACAATGACCACTGGAAGCGCTAGTCCACTTTCCATTTGTACAAATACTTACAAGCCTGTATAAGAAGACCACTGGTGCATGCCTGCAATCCCATTACTAGGGAGGGACAGGCAGGCGGATCTCTGTGAGATCGAGGCCAAACTGGTCAATATAGCTGAGTTCCAGGCCAGACAGGGCTACAAAGTAAGACTCTGTCTCAAAAAAAAAAAAAACAAAACAAAAACAAGCAAAACAAAACCTTCCTCCCCCAATAAGGCATATACCTCTTTGAGAAAATCTAGGTTAATAAATTTAAAAAGCTAGAACAAACAATAGATGACTGCATGCAGGACTCATCCAATTCAAGTTAAAACTGTTGAAGCTTTATTATAACCTTACCATATGTGGCAAAAGTTCTTCTTTGCTGTTCAAACATGAAATCGTTGATATGAGCTGGTTCAGCATATCCAGAAAGCATGTTTCTAGGAGCAGCCATTTGCTGTGTTCGAAAGGGATTTTCTGGTCCAAACTGCAATGTTAAGAAGAAAAGAGAAAAAGAAACTCAAAAGTTACTGAAATTACTGTACAATGCATTTTTAAATCTCATCAGGGGCTGATTGGCCTGTTTGGGAACATGCTACCCTCACATGGTTTAGTGTAATTAGGTAATGGTTAGTGAGCACTGATTGTCAGCCCTTGTGATGGAGAAGAGCTCAGTACACCCAGGTACACATGTAGGTATCTAGTTCATGAGCTCAGGAGAAACACGATACTATAGCTACCACAGTCTCATCATTGCAGGAAGTCCTATTCAACAGCTATGCTCTGGATAATTGAAAAATACTATACTTTCTCTAAATCATGACTTGGGGAATTTGGGGTGACCATTTCTCAATGACAGCACTGTAATGCAATTTTTTTTTTAAAGCCATGTTTCTCCTCCACTAATTATGAGTTCTTCAAAGGTAGTGACTCAGAATCATTTATATTTACCATAATGCCTGGCAAATAGAAAATACAGAAATCATTAATAAAATAAAAAAGAATCATAATACCAGTGGAGGCACAGGATAGGAAAACAAACAATAAAAATTAAGTGCTTGAAAAAGTCCCTTAGACAACGCATCACAAATGCAAATAAAACTTCTCCACTCTGAGAAGTCACACTTTGAACGTACAACACAAAACACCGGTATTTACTTGTTTATAATCCTGTCTGTGCATTTCCAGAATGACTTTCTGAATGTTATTTGTTTAGTATAAAAATACTGGAAGGTTAGAGAGGCACTCTCCTCTGCATACCACAAATTAAAAAAAAAAAAAGCCAAAGGTGAGGTATTTTACCTGCTTTAAGAACAAAGGTTTTATTACATAGAAGAATCAAGGCTAGAACAAACCTAGATGGAACATCCTATTACCTTAAAATGTCCTTTAAATGCACAGAGTCTAACTTCTAAAATACTGAGTTAAAAAGTACCACAATATGCTATGCCAACTGCTGTTAATTTAATTTATTATAAAAGGTCCTGGGAAAAGCCAGTTCTTTGAGATGGGGGTCTCACTATGGAGACCAAGCTGGCCTAGAATTCACTATGTTGCCCAAGCTGGCCTTGAACTCTTGGCAATCTTCCATCTCAGGTTTCTGGGTTTTGTTGTTTGTTTGAAGAATAAAGTGAGTGTTCCACTTAAGAAAAAGCAATATTTTTTCTCATTATTATTATTATTATTATTATTATTATTATTTTGTGATGGGGGTCTCACTATGGAGACCAAGCTGGCCTAGAATTCACTATGTTGCCCAAGCTGGCCTTGAACTCTTGGCAATCTTCCATCTCAGGTTTCTGGGTTTTGTTGTTTGTTTGAAGAATAAAGTGAGTGTTCCACTTAAGAAAAAGCAAT